AGCATTAATGACAAGAGAGACCTGGCAGAGGACAGCGAGTTGGGTTTGAGTGTGCAGTGTGATATGGCAGGCAAAAGGGACCACAGTGGCTGAAACAGAATCACAGATCGAGGTGGCAACAGTTCCTTTTACTTCAACTTTCTTGAGTACAGGCCTCAAGTTCTCCCTATTGCTATACCAGCAAGAGGTTGGCAACTTGGATGAGACCTAGAGAAATGCATCAAAAATCACTGTGGGGCTAGAACAGCTGGCTGGGGAGGCCACATGAAAGAATTAAACATGTATTACATCCACCAAATGATTGGGAGGGGTAAATATGCTTAACAGCTGCAAGTGCTGAAAGGAAGAGGATCACTTTAGGCCAATCTGAGACGTAAACTAGGGTACTACAAGGACATTAAGTAAACAAAAATGTAATCCCCACTGCTAAGACAATATTCCTGTTACTGCCAATGGCAGACTGAGGATTAATGACCCCACTGGAACAGTGCTAGCCTTGCTGCTCAGGTCACCTAATGCTGGGCTGGGAAAAATCTTGATCTGTGGTAGGAAACATTGGTGCATCAGTGGGGAGATGCTCAATGACCTTGTAAGTATTTCTGTCTCTAATTTCTCAGATTCTTTGCAAATATTATTCCTTTAGTATAATGACACCCACTGAGAGGACGGTTTGTACTTGTATTTCTCTCCATGCTACTGAATCTCTCTCTATCTCTGTCTCTCTCTGGGAATTAAACTACAATTATATTGAGGCTAGTGGAGTTTTCCCTCATTCTATTTAAAAGATAGATATCACAGCATTAGTTACAGGACATTTGAAAAAAAAATTAATTCTTGACAATCTTGCCACTTATAGTTATGTCAGGCAAAAATAGTGTCTCAGGAAGCGCACATGCTGGTTCCTCCCCAGAGAGGATTCTGCTCCTCAGACTGAAAGCTGAAGACCCCACCGAGTGCACCCCATTGAACCTCCACTCACTAGATCCCGTGCAATGACCACCAACCTCTGAGGAGGACTGGAAGTGACTCCTTTTAGAGCCCCTCAATGCTTCTCCTTAAATTGGCCAGTGGGGGTCACTGCTGTTGAATGACACAAGGCTCCATCCCTCCCAGGGTTGAGGCTGCAGCTCTGGAGTGCTCCTAGCTCCTGCTCATGGAGTGAGAAGCAGAATCCAAGAATTAAACCCTAGTCTCTTGCATGGCAGCACACACTGCTATGGCCTAGTTATGGTAGCACATATTTGACTAGATTAGTTTAAAAAAGATTTAGACTGTAGTCACTCAATCTTATTAATTTACTCTGTGATTAGAAACAACATTTTTGGTCAAGGAATGTCTCATGATAGTAAAATATGGTTGCAGTGAAGCACTATAAATAAAGCAGTGGTTGTTTTACATTATGTGATAGAAATGTATTATTTTATAATATAACCACAAAAGCAGCTTTCATGTATATCATACCTTTAATCCTGAAATAACCCTACTTGCCATCCAAACTTAAATTGATGCATATAAACTACACACAGAGATCAATTCATACACAACTCAAATGCAAGCACTTCTATTTAACAGACCAGTCATTTCTCAGGCTTCATTGGTTTTTTTCTACCAAGCCTCAAAATTTAGCTCTGCTCTGCCCAGTTACGTAACTAAGCTTTTTAACTTGAGATTTTAAAGATCATCCTATGGCTAAACAATGTCATACTGAAATCTGGAGGAAAAAATATCTGGTGGGCCATGTAAAATTCCCCAACCCTATGCCTGCCATCTTTGCTGCTGCTAATACACAGCCCTGCTCAGTGTGTTACAGGGATTAATTTGTAGCTCAGGTGTCACAGTCCCCAGAAGTAGACAAACAGTGCTGCACAAGCCTGAGAAAATTAAAAATGCCTGACACTATCAAGAACATGTTCAAGCACATCTCATACTCAAAGGACTGAAAGTTGCACTAGTTTTAGCAGCTATCATACCTCTAAGTGCTAAGTCAAAAGAAGAAGGGCACCTCCTCCTGCTTTCCTTCTTATGGAATTGTGTTAGTGGTGATTATTTTAATAATTGACTTCTTAGCTCCTTGCCACAAAAATTATTAATGACTAAGAGCCCCACTGCTGCCCACAACCATAATGGTCACTGTGTCCGTGACAAAAACATCAGACTAATAATGTTGGTGTTGAAATGATCTATAGAAACACAACTGACATTTTAATTAGGTTTCAGAGTAAACACTTTCTAGAGGAAAATGGTTATCTTTCACATCTCATCATAGCCCTCCCTGTTAATTTGACATTCTGGTCTTGTTTAGAATATTTTTCCTAAAGTGCAAAGACTGGAAACTGATTTATTCTCTCTCATCTCCTTGTGACTAGATCTTAGGTTCTGAATTGCACAGTTCTGAGGCATGGCATAACTTCTGACATTGATCTCTGGCCCTGGAACTGCAGCTCTGGTTCTACAACATCCATTACAGACCACCTACACCTACCCCTGTTTCTGAAACACATAAGAGATTGCATTTTTCCCTCCACATTAGCAGGTTTATTTATGGATTTGGGGTTTTTGAGGAGCTTATAGAGAACTACAAAGAGAAAGAGATTATTGAGGTATGTAACTTGCTTAGAGAGTGTGAGGAGGCTCTAATTAAGACTCTGGATGTAACAAAGAATGTTTGATTGACTTAGTGGCATGTAGCGATGCTTTATTCTTTCCAACACAAATGATATTTTGCTGGGTTCATGGTTACAGTATTACACTCAACAGGATCTTCATTAGTAAATGAAAGCAAAATCCACCTATTAATTTCTGTAGTGATGACTGGGAGCAGCCTAGAGCAATGGCTCTTAGAGTTTGTGAGAGTTGTGCATTGCTGTCAAATTTCAAACAGATGAAAATGGATCAACGTGCCCTATTTTTAATAAACTTAGTAGAAAGTGCTATCTAAGTGATAATGGCTGTGTGCACCCTGTCTGATGACCCTGCATATACCTGTAATCCACAGATCACAGTGGACAAGTCACTGCTCTACATACAAGAGCCTGGGCTTGCAAGAAAGTTTTATTTGACACAGAAGAATATGAAAAATGCTAAGGAATATGATTTCAGCCTGTAAAGGGGCTTGAAAACTGAGCAAAGACTTGGGAAAACATAGCAGCTAGCTTCAAATATTAGAGGAAATTATTAGTACAGTTTAAGTGATAAGGCAATGACACACCCAAATTAGATAACTGATTTCTTTGTAATCACGGGAAGGCTAACATTAGAAAGGCAGGTTTTCCATGAACCTTGCAGGAGTCTTGCCCATCTTTGCTCTTTGTTTAGAGGAAAGAGGAAATTGGTAGCTCCAGTTTCTGCACAATGGGCTAACATTTCTTCCAAAGATCAGATGTGACCAAGAACATGAATGAATCCAAGAACAGTTTCAATTACTGGCACCTGCTGAGATTAAGACAGCTGAGTGAACTAGAGCTCCTGGGTCCCTGTTCTGTCAATTTTCTTTATGCACTATAAACAGCCAAAGCATTTGCAGGAAGCATGGGCAGTACTGAGCCTGCACCCATGAGAGCCTGAGAGATGAAAATGTCTGGTGAGAAAAATGGTTTTGTGTTTGTGCTACTGGAGTGACTTTAGTGGCACGTGGTTCTACTTCCAGCACACTACAGTGTGTTGCCTCAGCACCTACAGGATTCGGGTGAAAAGCATCACTGGACAAGCAACAGGCCAACCTACTGAGTTCTGTTCTGCAATCATGTAGTGCATTGGCTAACTATGTTTGTTTTAAGAAGGCAGGAAATACATAGGAGATGTGCAATATGTAGGAAACGTATAAACAAGGGGCTTGGGCAGGAAGAGTCATGTTGACAAAAGATACTGAAGGTCTGTATTCATCAGCCTGAGAACTAACAGAATCGGAGAAACCAGTTTTCTCCACCATGGCAAGGGGAAACGGCTGCAACAGAGTGCAAATGATTGTCGAAAGGGGAAAACTTTGTATTTTATTTACCACAGTTGAGAAAATATGAACAACAGTTAGAAATATGAGGATGGATTGAAACTGAACCTTTCAAATTATGAACAAATTATGATGAGAGGGAAGATGCATACCCACCCACTGGCAGAGACCCTTAAGATGCTTTTGAAGACTGTGTTATTCAAGAAGCATCAGGTTGTGTCAGCACCGTGAAAGTGCTAATAAATTTAAGGCAACACAAATAACACAAATGATACCAATTGATTAGGCTTCAGCAACTGAGCTTCAGGGTGAAGTGCCAACCTGATCCATGCATGGAAATACAACCACATTGATTCACTTTCTGGGCTTGGCTCTGTATTGTCAGCACTGTTCCTGCATGAAGAACTGATTGAAAAATAATGCAGTCAGAGGAAATGGCACAACCTACTCTTTCTCCTTCTACTAGAAGAACATTCATCTGACAAGTACCATTCATTAACCAAGGCTTGCTCTGCCCAAAGTATTTATCAGAAGAGCTGGAAGGGGCTGTGGGGAAAATGACAAAACTCTGTGAAGTTTCAAGCTTTGCCAGAGCTGATGCTACTTCAGCTGTTTTCTGGATACTATCGTGAACATGGCACATTTGCCTCTCCAGGCATGAAGACCTCATTGAAGAAACAGAAATTAATGGTGTGAGTGCGAAGTGTGGATGAGGCGTATGGCGAGTTCACACATTTGCCAGAGTGTACACAGAATTACTGTAGAAGCAAAACTGAATAGCTACTACTCTCCCAAACCAAGAAACATCACGCAGAATAGAGGATAAGGAAACATTCTCTAACCAGGCTTAATTTACTAACAAAGAGAAAACAACACAGAAGCATAAAAGTGACAGAAAATTTGGAATTAGATGTGATTATGGTGTAGACTGACTTGGCTGGCTGGGAAGAAATCATTGGAGAAAAAGCTGGAGTATAGGACTTCGTATTAATCCAGGTTTGGTATGGCTATGAGCTCATTGTTGGGGTTCTTCAGACAGGAGGATGAGTAAAATGGAACTGAAACTGAAATTAGCTCTGGTCGTGTGAGTCATCTGGACAGAAGATGAATTATTTTAGTAGTGAGTTTTTTTCCTACTGAGCAGGAAAAGTCCCTTTTACAGAGAGCTGTATGGCCAAATGGAGCTTTTAATTAAGTGAAAACTGCCAAGCTATGTTTGATGATCTCGTGTCTTCTACCACATATAAGGGAAATCCAACATTAACTACTGAATGATACACTTTAAGGTACAGTTTGGGAAAGAAACAGAAAGCAAGTTACTGCTACCTGCAGCTACCTTCAGAAAGCAGTGATATGTCTGTAATAAGGCCCACTTCAAAGAATGCATATTTTTGAAGAAACATGGTAACATCTCTCTATTAATCTGAAAAGTGTTGAATACTTTTACACCAAAATATCCTACTGCTAAAATTATTTTGAGTTCTGTCTACTCTGCATGGTGGCCCAACCATCAATTCCATCTGGTTTGCTATCTTTGCTGTGGGGAAGATGGGAAGAGCTGTTAGTAAGTCAAATCGAACAGCTAAGCATTTACCGCTTTGCAGATGGAAAGGAGAAATGTCCTAAAAATGGAACCTGATCCTCCATACAAAAGAATTTGGGCCATTTTGCTATTCTGGTACAGAGAGCAAAGCATATTGAAAAACATTGACTATGAAACATAGTCAGTAAATGAAAGTAAATGAAGGGTAAAAATCCATCCCTCTCACCACGATAAACTTCACCAATATGTCTCAGATGCCCAACTATCATGTCCATCAGGAAGAGCAGCCTTGACTACTTCATCTGTCAGGAGTAGCCTTTCAGTACCAGAAGTCAGCTTCAATATCAGTGGGAGTGACAGGTAACTATCAGAGGGTTCAATTACACTCAGACATACAAGTACACACAGCTACCACTGAAGCCAACAGAAGTTGTCTCTCTGGGGAAGAGCAGGCTGAAAAGAGGCAGGGGGTCAGATTCTGGTCCTACTGAACTCAACTCAGAGCAGGGAGTAGTTAAGATAAAGTGATTTTACTGTCTTTTAAACTTGGAGACAGCAGGGAAATAGCTGGTTGCCCAGTTTTGCACTTAATTGCTGTTTTTTTTCTTAAATATGGTTGAATATTGATCCAAGGGGTTTTTCTGGAAGACACTGTCAGTGAGGCAGAGAGGTCCCTGCCACCAGGGGATCAGGTATCTGGCCTTCTGACTGCTTTGTGCTGCCAGAAAAATCCAGAGATGCCTATATTAGGGA